GGTACGAGCTCGCACTCTGGGCGTTTAAATAAAGCCAATGAAGGGTCAAAGGTCACAGATGATAAATAACAGATGGGCCAAAGATTCCTGTGAGGAGAAGTAAAGGGGGGAGGAGCCAGGCTGAATCAGTTTCTGCCTGTCCCAAGAGGCTGATGAACGTGATGAATAAGTAATTATAATGCTAATTAACATGCCTGTAGGCGTTTGTTAGCAGGCCACGTGTTTATCTTCAGGCAGTTTGTTTGGCTAAGTGCCTCAAATGTGTCTTCTTATCATTCATAGGCTGTTCCTTTGATGTTTGTTTTTTGTCTTCATTTGTTTCATTTCCATCAAATGTTCTGCTATTCCTGAGAGCTCAGGTTTCATGTTCGCCCAAAAATTAACAATGAAAATAATCAACCTGACATTTTACCCTCCGTCTGTAAGTTGGTGGTGTGGGGTCCTTCAAACGACTTGATGATGTAGTCAAGTCACATTCTGGATGTCTTCCCATAACGCTAGTTCATGACGAGAAGTGAAGATTGTACTTGAGCTACTATAGTTATTTTCTAGTCGTCACACTCATTCACTCACTGATGGTAGAGGCTGCTATGGAAAGTGACCATCAGATGTAACTAATCCCATTCATACACATTCACACGCCGCCGACAAAGCATTGGGAGCAACTTGGGGTTAAGTGTCCACAGACACATCAGCATGTGGCTGTGGGAGATGGGGATCGAACCCCCGACCTTCCAGTTTAGAAACGACAACTCTACCACTGAGCCCAAGCTGCTTGAAATACAACATTATGAATTTCAGAATTATGCAGAGTTAAATACAAACCGATGTGAATATTTCAGAAAAATGGTGAGCATGTTTTGTTTAACCTTTGGAGGCGGAGACAAACTCATAAATATAGAACTGGATTACCACTCGGTGGTTATCTAAAGAAGCTGAGATTGCAGTATGTATGCAGCTTTACTCCAGGTCTTTTGAAGGTACGATTTCATGGACCTTTCACTTCATTTGCATGTACAGAACACATGTTCTGCATAGTTCAAAGTGAACTTCATTAAAGAGAAATGAGGGATCATTCCTATTCCTTTTTGCTTATCCGTTCCCCGACGAGTGCGTGGGGTAAGGAATGGTTCCTGGGATCCTGTGGGGTTTTCTTAGGCGTGTGGTACACCGGCTCTTTTCCCCCCTTTTTGGGGGCTAACGAGGGGTTTCTTGATGTATTATTCAGGGACAGCAAGCTCACCATGCTGCTGAGTGAATCCCTGGGCAACATCAACTGTCGAACCACCATGATCGCCCACATCTCCGACTCCCCAGCCAACTACATGGAGACGCTGACCACGGTGCAGCTGGCCTCCCGCATCCACCGCATGAGGAAGAAGAAGTCAAAGGTTCTTCATTTATTATTTTATATCTTCAGCTGAGGACTGTCAATTATCTCTGTTATAAGATGGAATAAATCCAATTTCTTTGAATCAATTTTATCTATTTCCCTGTTCCATTATTCAGGACAGTTTGTATTTCAGGACATCAATTATGGGTTAAAGATTTCCAGATGTTTCCCGTGTGAAACAATGAGTCGAATTATTATGTTGCATTTTGTTGTATAGGTTTTTTATGCTGTTAAGAAAAAAGAAGTGTGTTAAACAAGTGTTGTATCCTGAGGGTGTGACAGTAAAAAGCTCCTAATCTATAATATAAATCTGTATTATCAGGTCAGAGAGTCACACCACCTTCACTTACTGAGTTTTCTCCGCTCTGAAATGTCAGATAATCAATATGACTTTTCCTTCGGGGGCTGTAGCCTCTGTAGTTAGATGGAAAAGGCTTTCACTCTCAGTACCGTCTGTATTTTTATTTCATAGATTGAAGAAGCAACATGGGAACAGAAGTTACAAGCTTATACATCTCATTGACATTCATTTTAATCCGGTCCGCAGTTAGTTATTTAAACCTCACACTGTATCGACTAAGGACTCTTCAGGAATGGATTTGCCCTCACCATGATGGCCACAGAACATGCTAATACTGTTATTTCTTTTTTTTTTTCTGCAGTATGCCTCCAATTCATCTGGAGGGGAAAGTTCCTGTGAGGAAGGCCCGTCCCATAGACCTCCTCATCTTCGACCCTTCCACCCTCGGACCATTGCCCTGGATCCAGACACACCTCTTCTTCTCTCCAGCGATCCTGACTATTCATCAAGCAGCGAACACTCCTGCGACACCGTCATCTACGTCGGACCTGGAGGGGCAGCCATCTCAGACAGAGAATTGAGCGACAATGAAGGACCGCCTTCTTTCGTTCCAATCATCCCCTCTCTGAACAAATTGCGAGTCAAGGATGCACCCAGGTCTGATGGCAACCACTTGAAGTGTAACACCTTTGCAGAGTTGCAGGAGAGACTCGACTGCATTGATGGCAGTGAGGGCCCTGCAACATTTGGTACAGAGGGCAAAACAACACTTGTAGTCGGGTTTGGGACTCAAACTGGAGCTGGAGCAGTTTCACCACCAACATCTGACAAGAACTCCTTCAGGTTCTTGGAAAGCACACCAACCCAAACAAATAAACCTGATCAAGACCAACACACATTTGTTTCAGTCAGAGGAATAGTAGAAACTTCCAAGAGGACAAGTGCAGATGGGGAGAAACTTTCAGCAAGCCACCTTCAGCCATGTGTGGTAAAGCCCAGTGGAAGTTTGTCTAAGGACTCAGAGCCTGTAGTTCGAGAGAAGGTCTACCTAAAAGGAGGTTTACCCAAACCAGCTGCTTCAACACCCTTATCTTGGACCGACCCGGCAGCATCTCAGTGTGGAGATGTTGTTGGTAGGACTCCACCTGTGGGAATGAGTCAACAAGCACTGAGGCAAGGCCAGCCCGCTGGGTCTGCTTACACCGAGAGGGTCCCTCTAACAACCAGAGGCCACATGGAGTTCAACAACCTCCGGGCAGCTCTGTTAGGAAGATGCCTTGACAGGGATATCCAGAGGACGACTGTTACTCTTCAGCAGCCTGTGGAGTTGAATGGGGAAGATGAGCTTGTGTTCACTGTGGTTGAGGAGCTTCCTTTTGGCCTTGTCCCAGACAATGGCCGACCATCCAACCTCCTCAGCTTCAACACAGACTGCTCCTGGCAGGCCGCAGCATATGGCTCGCGCCCTGTAAGCATTATCAGCAGTATTAACGATGAGTATGATGCATTCACATCTCAGCAAGGAGCTGTTGGACCTGGGCCACATGTTGGAACCAACTGCCAGGAAACTTGGTTTTCCCAGCAAGGTAACAGTCAGCCAACTATCGGCTCATGGGCAAGTGAAGTGAATGCTCTTTCAGAAAGTGAAGGCATACATTCAAAAGACAGACTTAACTTAAGGGACAAAAACATGACAACAGAGACTGCTTCTAGTTTAACCTCACCAAGTACATTTCATAAACAGCCCTTTCTGCAACAAGGCATCAAGAGTTCCCTGCATGACAGTGGCATCTGTTTCTCAGAGCTGGCTAGTGACCCTGCTACTCCAAACAAATCTTCTTTCTCCAAATGCCATGCCTCCCTTGACCCAAACAAGTTCTCTCTTAAAGACCCTCTTAAAGCGAGACGAAATACTCTGAACACTTCAACATCAGCCTCGATTCCCCCTCGCACCACCCATTCCAGTCTTCCCAGGAAAACCAAGCCTACCTCATCTGCAACTGTGGGCTGCAGCAGACAGGAAGGCAGACATGATAACTTTTCGCTTCAGGGAAGCAGATATTTTGAATCCAGAGAGGTTGAGTTTCTCTCTGCAGGTAAGCCAAGAAGTGGCACAAGTAGTGCTTCCCCTAAGAGGCCAGGACTGAACAGTAACAGCGTTCCTCGGCCACCAAAGGCACAAATGTCTCAGTCAACCCAGAGGATTGTGGATGGTTGTGAAAGGGCCAGCAGCAGGAAATCAGATACCCTCATCAAACTGCCACGTCTTACCCGGGGTGCAACAACTCTTGGTACTGTTTCTACTCCCCAGAGTTCTGAGTCGACGTTGGGTCCTGAAAGCCCTTCAGTGTCAGGTACCCTCAGATTTTCATCACTGGGAAAAAAGTCAAATGGGCAAAAAAGCAGCATGACCTCTAAGGCTGGAACTGGAAACATCTCTCCTCCTGCTCAACCTGTCAGACAGTCAAGCCAAGAACAAAAGACACGGACTGTGCTATCGCAAAGTGCCTTAAAAACAAGCAGTGACTTAGGTAAATCCATATTCCCTAAGACGTCAACCTCAGAGGAAGAATTTACCCTCAGACTCCGGGCTGAATCATTCAGCCACAGGACTTGTGGTTTAAAAACTGAACATGGCTTTGCCAGGACATCTTCAAGCCTGAGGACCCGAGGTGCCAAAGCAGAGTCCTCCATGTACTACGGGAGTCTGATGTCTCTGGAGAGATGTGACAGTCAAACGTTAACAGGATCTAAGCCTGAACTCTTCAGGGAGAACAGCGGTGCTACTCAAGGAGGCAGCAACAAGTCCAACAGATCAGTGCCAAGACTTGGAGTTCCAGCCTCTGACTCTACATCTGTCCTAGGTGTTACAGGTTTCACTGGACCCACAAGCAAACTTGGGCAGATCAAAGGGAATAGCAGCTCACGTCCAGCAGCAGTTTCTGGGGGAGCAAAGGTTCGAACTTTGTCTGCAAGCAGTTCCAAGAGTCTGAGCTCTGAAGCTGGCCGCCCCACCAGCCTACCCCCTACTGGGAAGTCCCCAGCTCGTTCAGGTATAGGAGCCAAGATGGGAAGAGGCACCATCATGGGAACGAAGTACGCCATCAGCAGGGCGGCAAACAGTCGGGTCAGCGAGCTGGTCACTGGGAGCCAAAGGAAGCAGCTCGGCCGGGGTTCTGGACTAACAGAAAATGATGGCACTGACAGCAGAACCAGTAGTGTTAGCGGCTCGCCAAACAGCACATTGCTTCCCTCACCTTACAGCAAGATCACTGCACCTCGGAGGCCACAGCGCTACAGCAGTGGGCATGGCAGTGACAACAGCAGCGTCCTCAGCGGGGAGCTACCCCCCGCCATGGGCCGTACCGCCCTGTTTGACCACAGCGGGGGGAGCAGCGGCTATGAGAGTATGATCCGAGATAGTGAGACCACCGGCAGCACCTCTTCAGCGCATGACTCGATGAGTGAGGGTGGAGTGTCCTCGTCCAATAGAAGCAGAGTTTCTAAATCACCCAAGAAGAGAGGAAACGGTAGGTCCATTTTCTCAAGGGGGGGGGGACAGGCAGTGGCACATATTTTGAATTATTTGATTTATAATAATCAGACATCATGAGAGGGACTTTTGAGAGAGCTGTGTTCAGATATTTCAGTTTAAGAAAGAACAAAGTTATCAGACTGTATGAAGTTGGCAGTGAGTGTTTTTTGTGTGTGTTTTCCTTCTTATTTCTGAGGAAGTGAAGACTGAATTGTCAGATTTGTTTTATGTTGGTATTCATTCATTGATTGTAATTGGACAGTATAGTAAGCTATAGTAACATATAGTAAGTAACATATAGTAAGCTCACTGTATTCCTTCTCTATCATATCCATTTATTTTCAAAATGAGGTTTTGTATCTTCTCAGTTCTCGTCAGAAGTTTAAAGCTCAGTAACTGTGTTCTGATTCAGAAAGTAAAAGAGCCATCAAAGTCCTCTGGAAGCTCCATCCAGAAATTAACATATTTATGACTTTCCATCCATCAGAGTGTGTGATGATGGTGATGAGAGCGCCCCTTCTCTTCAGTATTTTCATGAATGCGGAGCACGTTGAAGGGTACAGGTGTTATTATCTCCGTGGGAGCATCCATCAAAGACTATTCCTCCGTCTGAATTCATCCCCTCCGCCCGCCGTTATCAGAAAATCGACATTCCCGCACATTATCTGGGCGGGTGTTGTGGTGTGTTCTGCGTCTGTGCTGCTAACTCACAGCAGCTGATTGCGATTCATGCGGGTCGGGGCAGCCTGATGCATATGGAACCATCAGTCTGTGGATCTCATGAATATTTCATGAAGCCTCGGCATTCCCCCCGTGTACATATCCAACTCCAATTATCACCCCCATCCACTACACAACACCCCCCCCCCCCCCCCCCCGCCTCGATCTGTCACTACTGTCCTCGCTTACAGAGCGCCAGTGTTTGATCATCCCCGTTGGCTGTTTGTTTTGGTGTTGCTTTACTTCTCAGCGTTTATAATAATCATGAAATTAATTATTTCTGCAGCTTCCTGACGGCCTCGTGCACAGACTCATTAAAGTCTTTATATGTGATTTTTTGATCCAGCAGATGTCGCCCTTGAGCACCAGCATGAAACCAAAACAACTCGCGCTGCATTGTTGTGTTAGCATGCTAATGCTAGTGATCTTTATTATGCTGGTATCTTCACACTGCATGTAAATTGACCTGAAATGAGCGTGATCTAGAAACACAGTTAAGCAGTGAGTACAGTATGTTATTCTTCTTTTCTCTAGTCCCTCAATTAAACAACTTTTATACACGAGGGGAGGAGTCAGCCGGCCGTCCTGGCGATGTAAACAAAGTGAAGATAGGACTCTGAAAACTCTGAAAACATCACAGACAGTGGGACTCGGGTGTTACACCCATTGTAGACAGTCATGACTCACAGAGGTATTTTCAGAGGAGATACTTTTAAATTGAGGTCTTTATTTTGACATTGCTGGTTTTAAACCTTAGCGGTGCAGATGGTCGTTGACACAGGAAGCTAAGAGGAAGCTAATTAAAACTAATGAGCTGTCTGTTTCCTGATGAACTAAATCAAACATTTCTCACAGATCTTCCCCCCCCCCAGGACTAAACTCATCCCTCCTTCACTTAACAATTTGACTGTCCTCAGGTTTCCAGAGGCGTCGTCTGATCCCCGCCCCCCTCCCTGACACCTCGTCTCTTGGCAGGAAGGTAGGGGGTCAGTGGGTGGAGCTGCCGTCGCTGGGCGGGGCCCTGAAGGAGCCCTTTGAGATCAAGGTGTACGAGATCGACGACGTGGACTGCCTGCAGAGGAGGAAGGAGGTGACGACGGGGTCAGAGGTCAGGTGGACTCCATCAGCTTCCTTTTCCTGTATCGTTTCTGTTTTCTCAAACATCCTAACTGACCTTTAATAAACATCTTTAAATAAACATCTTTAATAAAAAGCTTCAGGCTTCTCGATAGAGGCGATCATTAAAGTAACATTTATGATTTAAAATGTGAGGTATAAGAGGAACGTTTAAATCTTTGAATGGCTCATTAGTGTAAAGAAGGAGTGGTTAATGTCTCTGTCTGTGGGGGAGGGGCCAGATGGGAGACCAGCTGATCAGCCTTCAGTTACCTTCAGCTGCACGCCGGAGGTCAGACTTATCAGAAGACGAGTTTATCACAGAGACAATTACAGTAATTAGTTTAGAGGTGAGGGAGGAAGAGGGGGAGGAGGAGGAGGAGGAAGAGGAAGAGGAAGAGGAAGAAGAGGAGGAAGAGGAGGAGGAGGAGGAGGAAGAGGAGGAAGAGGAGGAGGAGGAGGAGGAGGAAGAGGAGGAAGAGGAGAGGAGGAGGAGGAGGAAGAGGAGGAAGAGGAAGAGGAAGAGGAGGAGGTTTACAGTGTTGAGTGACAGCTCCTTCCCTTCTAGAGGGGGGGAGAGAGAGTGGGAGAGGGGGGAGAGAGAGAGGGGGAGAGAGAGGGGGCAGAGAGAGAGGGGGAGAGAGAGGGGGGAGAGAGAGAGTGGGAGAGAGAGAGGGGGAGAGAGAGGGGGGAGAGAGGGGGGGGAGAGAGAGGGGAGAGAGAGGGGGTAGAGAGAGGGGGGGAGAGAGAGGGGCAGAGAGAGAGGGGAGAGAGAGTGGTAGAGAGAGAGGAGGGAGAGAGAGGGTGGAGAGAGAGAGGGGGAGAGAGAGGGGAGAGAGAGAGGGGGAGAGAGAGTGGGAGAGAGAGAGGGGAGAGAGAGGGGAGAGAGAGAGGGGAGAGAGGGGGGAGAGAGAGAGGGAGAGAGAGAGGGGAGAGAGAGGGGGAGAGAGAGGGGGGAGAGAGAGGGGGGGAGAGGGGGGGCACAGACACAGACACACACACACACAGATCTGTGTGTGTGTGATAAATTCTGATGGTATTTTTCTGTCTCTCTCTGCAGCCGTTCCATGATGTTGAAAAGGTGAGTTCCTCCTCCTCCTCCTCCTCTTCCTCCTCTTCCTCCTCCTCTTCTTCCTCTTCCTCCTCTTCCTCCTCCTCTTCCTCCTCCTCTTCTTCCTCTTCCTCCTCTTCCTCCTTCTCCTCCTTCTCCTTTTCCTCTTCCTCCTCTTCCTCCTCCTCTTCCTCCTCCTCCTTCTCCTCCTCCTCTTCCTCCTATTTCTCTTCCTCTTCCTCCTCCTCTCCTCCTCTTCCTCCTCCTCCTCCTCCTCCTCCTCTTCCTCCTATTTCTCCTCTTCCTCTTCCTCCTCCTCCTCCTCCTCTTCCTCCTCCTCCTCTTCCTCCTCTTCCTCCTATTTCTCCTCTTCCTCTTCCTCCTCCTCCTCCTCCTATTTCTCCTCTTCCTCTTCCTCCTCCTCTTCCTCCTCTTCCTCCTCCTCCTCCTCCTCCTCCTCTTCCTCCTCCTCCTCCTCTTCCTCCTATTTCTCCTCTTCCTCTTCCTCCTCCTCTTCCTCCTCCTCCTCCTCCTCTTCCTCCTCCTCCTCTTCCTCCTCTTCCTCCTCTTCCTCCTCCTCCTCCTCCTCTTCCTCCTCCTCCTCCTCCTCCTCTTCCTCCTATTTCTCCTCTTCCTCTTCCTCCTCCTCCTCCTCCTCTTCCTCCTCCTCCTGTTCCTCCTCTTCCTCCTCCTCCTCCTCCTATTTCTCCTCTTCCTCTTCCTCCTCCTCTTCCTCCTCCTCCTCCTCCTCCTCCTCTTCCTCCTCTTCCTCCTCCTCCTCCTCCTCCTCCTCTTCCTCCTCCTTCCTCCTCCTCCTCCTCCTCCTCTTCCTCCTATTTCTCCTCTTCCTCTTCCTCCTCCTCCTCCTCCTATTTCTCCTCTTCCTCCTCCTCCTCCTCTTCCTCCTCCTCCTCCTCTTCCTCCTCTTCCTCCTCCTCCTCCTCCTCCTTCCTCCTCTTCCTCCTCCTCCTCTTCCTCCTCCTCCTCCTCCTCCTCCTCCTCCTCTTCCTCCTCCTTCCTCCTCCTCCTCCTCCTCCTCCTCCTCCTCAGGTTTTGTTCTTGTCTCTTCAGGGTCTTCTTTACTTTAACGCTCGGCTCAGGATGTTGGAGAAGCGTCAGCAGCAGATCAGAGATCTGAGGAGTAAACAGGAGAGTCTGCAGGAGGAGCTGGAGGAGGCCAAGAGCTGTTTGATGCTCCACCCCGACAGGTGGAGCGGAGAGTGTGAGTACAGAGAGGAGAGAGAGTCAGTCTAGTTTCTACTCACCCTCTCTTTGGCTACAGCAGACTGGAACCTGGTCAACTGAGGTGTCTGCTGAAAGGTCAAAGGTCATGAATTAGTACAGCTCCGTAAATGCTGAATCAATCTGTGGATCTTTATGGATGTGATGTGTTGGATTAAATCTGGTCACACATGAACTAACCATGAGGGCAATGGCACCCAGAAACAAATCTTCTAAAGCCAGAGTGCATCATGGGACGGCCTGTGGACGTAATTACACAGTGTGGCCACTGTGTCAAATTGTCCTTAAAGCCGAGCCCACTCCCTGGGGGGTCTGGAGGAACATTAAAGACTCTTTCAGGGACAGACTTTCAACCTCCTCTCCAAAAGTTCTACATGTACCCCTCAGCTCACTTACAGGAGGCGGTTTTTAGAGGGGTGGGGTTAGGATGTGCAGTGTTCACACACACACACAAACACAAACACAATCACACACACACACACACACTGGACGAGCAGTGTTCCCAGCTGGTAGTGGCCTCAGGTTGAACATCTCTCCATCATGTTTCTATTCGTGGCAGCAAGCGAGCGGTGCAGCGAGTATCTGGAGAGCAGCGAGTGTCTGGAGAGCAGCGAGCGGTGCGGTGAGTGTCTGGAGAGCAGTGAGTGTTTGGAGAACAGCGAGTGACTGGAGAGCAGCAAGTGTCTGGAGAGCAGCAAGTGTCTGGAGAGCAGCGAGTGGTGCAGCGAGTGTCTGGAGAGCAGCAAGTGTCTGGAGAGCAGCGAGTGGTGCAGCGAGTGTCTAGAGAGCAGCAAGTGTCTGGAGAGCAGCGAGTGGTGCGGTGAGTGTCTGGAGAGCAGTGAGTGTTTGGAGAACAGCGAGTGTCTGGAGAGCAGCAAGTGTCTGGAGAGCAGCGAGTGGTGCAGCGAGTGTCTAGAGAGCAGTGAGTGTTTGGAGAACAGCGAGTGTCTGGAGAGCAGCGAGTGGTGCAGCGAGTGTCTAGAGAGCAGTGAGTGTTTGGAGAGTAGCGTGCGGTGCAGTGAGTGTTTGGAGAACAGTGAGTGTTTGGAGAACAGCGAGTGTCTGGAGAGCAGTGAGTGTTTGGAGAACAGCGAGTGTCTGGAGAGCAGCAAGTGTCTGGAGAGCAGCGAGTGGTGCAGCGAGTGTCTAGAGAGCAGTGAGTGTTTGGAGAACAGCGAGTGTCTGGAGAGCAGCGAGTGGTGCAGCGAGTGTCTAGAGAGCAGTGAGTGTTTGGAGAGTAGCGTGCGGTGCAGTGAGTGTTTGGAGAACAGTGAGTGTCTGGAGAGCAGCGAGTGGTGCAGTGAGTGTTTGGAGAGCAGCGAGTGTCTGGAGAGCAGCGAGTGTTTGGAGAGCAGCGAGTGTTTGGAGAACAGTGAGTGTCTGGAGAGCAGTGAGTGTTTGGAGAGTAGCGTGCGGTGCAGTGAGTGTTTGGAGAACAGTGAGTGTCTGGAGAGCAGTGAGTGTTTGGAGAGTAGCGTGCGGTGCAGTGAGTGTTTGGAGAGCAGTGAGTGTCTGGAGAGTAGCGAGTGTTTGGAGAGCAGCGAGTGGTGCAGTGAGTGTTTGGAGAACAGTGAGTGTCTGGAGAACAGCGAGTGTCTGGAGAGTAGCGTGCGGTGCAGTGAGTGTTTGGAGAACAGTGAGTGTCTGGAGAGCAGCGAGTGTTTGGAGAGCAGCGAGTGTTTGGAGAACAGCGAGTGTTTGGAGAACAGCGAGTGTTTGGAGAACAGCGAGTGTTTGGAGAGCAGCGAGCGGTGCAGTGAGTGTTTGGAGAACAGTGAGTGTTTGGAGAGCAGTGAGTGTTTGGAGAGCAGCGAGTGTTTGGAGAGCAGCGAGCGGTGCAGTGAGTGTTTGGAGAACAGTGAGTGTTTGGAGAACAGTGAGTGTTTGGAGAGCAGCGAGCGGTGCAGTGAGTGTTTGGAGAACAGTGAGTGTTTGGAGAACAGTGAGTGTTTGGAGAGCAGCGAGCGGTGCAGTGAGTGTTTGGAGAACAGTGAGTGTTTGGAGAGCAGCGAGCGGTGCAGCGAGTGTTTGGAGAACAGCGAGTGTTTGGAGAGCAGCGAGCGGTGCAGTGAGTGTTTGGAGAACAGTGAGTGTTTGGAGAGCAGCGAGCGGTGCAGCGAGTGTTTGGAGAACAGTGAGTGTCTGGAGAGCAGCGAGTGTCTGGAGAGCAGCGAGCAGTGCAGCAAGTGTTTGGAGAGCAGTGGGCGGTGCAGCGAGTGTCTGGAGAGCAGCAAGCAGTGCAGCAAGTGTTTGGAGAGCAGCGAGTGTTTGGATAGCAGCGAGTGTTTGGATAGCAGCGAGTGTTTGGAGAGCAGCGAGTGTCTGGAGAGCAGCAAGCAGTGCAGCGAGTGTTTGGAGAGCAGCGAGTGTTTGGAGAGCAGCGAGTGTTTGGAGAGCAGCGAGTGTTTGGATAGCAGCGAGTGGAGACGTGGGGAGAAGATTATATTTATTTATTTTCTATTGTTTCTCTATCAGAGGACATTTCAGTATAACTGGACTCAGAGCTGAAGGCCTGAATGTGTCTGAGATCAATATGACATTATTTCCTCCATCAACATGGAGGATTCTGATTGGCTGCCAGAGGAGTGGGGGGGGCAGGTCGAGCCCATAAATCACCCAAAAAAATCTCCTCAGCCTCCGTCACCAGAGCGTTGTCGCTTTAAGAGGTTTTTATGGAGGTAGAGGATGTTTCACCTGATACACATTGTGAAGAATAACACGTCTCTTTCTGTGTCTCTCCTTCCAGTCGACGTAGACCAGGACCTGGACCCAGAGTCCCAGGAGTACCTGGAGGCTCTGGCTCAGGTCACGGCAGAGCTCGAGGACTGCGTCAACCTCTGCAAGTCCCGGGTCATGATGGAGACCTGCTTCGACATCGCCGTGGCACCAGCCAACGCCGCCACGCAGGGAGGACAGCAGGAGGTGGAGGTGTGACAGGAAAGACAACCTCCCCTCTGTACATCTGTCCCGGTGGACACATGTGGTACTGCAACAGAAATATCTCTAATCACCTTTTATTCATTAAGAGACGGACGGAGACGCTGCAGCAAGAGCATCAGAGTTCTAACCCAAATCTGAACAAGGAATCAAGGTGGTGATCCACATCCAAATCCAGATCTGTGATTCTGGAGTGAAAGCTGAGTGGAACAGGGTGCTGCCCCCTGCTGGCAGATTTTTCATCCAGTTGCTTCAAAACAGGAAGAGGCGTCTTTAAAGGTCACTATTTCAAATGGTTTTACTGTGAACGCAGAACATGAAGGACCAGGTCGTGTTTAGAAACCACACTGTTCAGGACTCAGAGACCAGCTGCTGCTACTGGATCAGATCAGAGAGTGAGAAGACGAAGAGGAGGAAAGTTCTGGAAGTGCCTTTATATTTATTCTCTGAGTTCAAACACGTATTCATGTTTTTATATTTATTCTCGTGTCTGATCCGTTCTGATGGTCGGTGTGTGAGGAGGAGCAAACACTTCTTTAGATTCAAACCTCACTAGATTCATTTGTTGCACACTGGACCATTGTAGGCCCCTCCCCCAACCACCGGGGGGCCGTTGCCTGATTATTTGTCCAAAGAAGCCTCCGGTGTTTGACGTCACTGCGATCGTTTGGGAGCCTTCCCGGTCTGGATTCATAAATCTCAGACATGTTGGAGGTTTCCACGTCGGGCGGGCTCTGACTGAACACCTGCAGCTGCCAATGAGAGCAAGCAGACTGGTAGTGTCACTAAACACGGTCCTCTTGTCTGTGGTCTCGTGTTTTAAACATCGTCTCTGAGCGTCCATCTTCACAGACGTTTGTTTATATCCCGATGTTTCTGCTGCTGTTCTCAGAGTCCTAACTCCGTTAAATATCAACCAACAGAAATGTGGACGCTCGTACTTTCAGATCCCATGTGATTTTATATTTCTGACGCTCGGCTGATCAAAACAACTCCAACAGGATCAGAACGGATCTGATCTTTAAAAAACAAAGATGACGTCATCTGTAGTTTAATCTCTTTCCAGGGCTGAGAAATATCGTTCAATCTGCTCCATAAATCTGCAGAACTCTCCTGAGACGTTCATGTTTTTAAACTGTGCGATAGATGTCCGTTCATCCACTTGTTAAACCGCTAACGGGAGATGCTAACGGCTAATTCAGCTAATGCTCAGATTAAAAGAACTGCACACACAGTCAGTTCAGATGGTTCAGCTAAACCCACCCAGTCCAGCCGGAAACTCATTCAGTTTAAAGAGTTCAGACTCACAGCTCGTGTCTGTTTCATTCAAACCTCGTCGTGACATTTCAGTTCTTCTCTTCTGGTCAGATTAAAAGCACACACAGTCAGTTCAGATGTTTGAGCTAAAGCTGAAGTATGCTAAGCTAACGGTTGATACAGACATCAGAGCATGTGGATAAAGGTAAAAACGACGTCGCAGGGTTTGACATACTTTATTCTTCTCACTGATCTTCTTTCTTTCTCCTCGTTTGAACTCTTTAACGTTCTCAGGCTCTTTTGAAACTTTCTGCATGAAAACTTTTCTTCGTTTTAATCGCTGACGTCTTGAGTTTGATCTTTGTTTCCGACATCTTTGTTGCAGAAGAAGACAAAGGGGAGTTTTGCATCTTTTTTAACTGATTTTGCTCCCAGTGAGCTTTAATAATGAATTCAGACTTTTTTATTTGTTTTGTACTGTACAGTTTTATAATTATTTATAAAGACAGGATTAAAGAGGAAGAGAGATAAAGGGTAAAGGACGAGCGACGTGTCAAACATGATCATAAAGATTAAAGTCTTTGATTTTAAAAACGTGTGTTTTTGTCGTTTGTTTAAGACCAACCTGATAAAAGCTGTCACTCAAACCTTCACCACTCTAAGCCTAACAGGTGCGTTGTATAAAGGCTGTAAACATGGGGACTGACTCACTGCAGGAGACAGACTCTAGTGGACACTGGAGGAACTGCATATCTTGTTTTTACAAGAGACTCATACCACACCATCAGATGAGACAGATTGGGGTTTATGGTGGGAGGGCTCTAACTACCTCAGCCATGGCACCAACTTTAGTGCAGGAGTAGCCATTTTGTTTAGAGCATCTGCAAATGTAAAGATCGTCTCTTGTGCTGAAATTGTAAAGGGAAGGCTTTTAATTGTAAGAGCAGAAATAGAGGACACTGTTTTCTGCTTCACTAATATTTATGCTCCAAATAATGGAGCTGAAAGGGTAGCTTTCTATACCCGCCTCCAAAAGGAGTTACTGATCTATAATCAGGATCAGATCATTCTTGGTGGTGATTTTAACTGCACACTTGATTTCACCGTGGATAGAATAGGAGAGGAGCCACATCCACATTCATCCCAGACTTTAAACACTGTCATCTCTCACCTGGATTTGTTGGACACATTTAGAGTGAAACATCCACAATCCAGACAGTATACATGGGTCAGGGTTAACAGTAACAGGGTGTGTGCAGCTAGACTGGACAGGGTTTACATCTCCAGAACTCTCAGATTAATTCATTGTAATATTCTGCCTGTCGGCTTCACTGATCACCATTTTGTTAGTGTGGAGCTGATTATTTCACCAGGTGAAAGGGCTAAGTCCTTCTGGCATTTTAATAACAAGCTTCTACTGGACAATGTTTTCTGTAAAAACTTTGGGTGTTTTTGGGATCAGTGGCAATTAAGAAAAGTTGAGTTTGATTCTTTGAAGCTTTGGTGGGAGGTTGGTAAAGCTCAGATTCGTGTTTTTTGTCAGCAGTACACGTCACACTCTTCTGCTAGATTAAAAACAGTCATTAAAAATCTTGAGGACAACATTAAGAACCTTGAGGAGGGGTTAAATGGGAGTGTGGATCCCACCACTGGTACCCTGCTGAAGGAGAAACGTATGGAGTTGAGCTCTTTCCTGCAGGAGAGGGTGAAGGGAGCTCTTGTGCGGAGTCGTTTCCTTCAACTCAAAGACATGGATGCCCCAACGTCTTTCTTTTTCAATCTTGAGAGATCTGTGGCTCCAAAAAAGCTGTTGACTTGTCTTAAACTGCCAGGAGGTCGAATAACAGCTGATCCAAAGGAAATGCCATGCAGTTCTATGAGGATCTGTTTGGAGCAGAGAGTTGCAGCCAGGAGTGTCGCAGGGAGTTCCTGGAGGGTCTCCCTCAGCTCAGTGTGGAGGAGAGGTCTCTTCTGGAAGGGGAGCTGTCTCTGGAGGAGCTCACTGCTGCTGTCACTCAGATGGCAACAGGAAGAGCACCTGGAATAGATGGGTTGTCCACAGACTTTTTTAAGAGGTTCTGGAATATTCTTGGGTCTGACCTGCATAGTGTTTTAATGGAGTGTTGCAGGACCGGGTCTCTTCCTGGTTCTTGTAAGAGAGCAGTTCTTTCCTTGCTCCCCAAGAAAGGTGACCTGGCATTGTTAAAAAACTGGAGGCCGGTTGCTTTGCTTTGTGCGGACTACAAGATCCTCTCCAGAGCTTTATCGAACAGACTAAAGGACGTTCTGGGAAGTGTGGTCCATAAAGACCAGAGTTACTGTGTTCCAGACCGGACAATCATGGATAATGTTTTTCTTATCAGAGATGTCATTGATGTGTGTAAAATCTATAATCTAAATGTTGGCATTGTGTCTCTGGATCAAGAGAAGGCGTTTGACAGGGTGGATCACTCGTATTTGTTTTCTGCACTGAAGTCTTTTGGTTTTGGGGATGGTTTTGTGTCATTAGTTGGTTTGTTGTATCAGGATGCACAGTGTTTGGTGAAGATGGGGGCGGGGTTGAGTCGGCCAATCCCTGTACGGCGAGGGATCAGACAAGGTTGTCCCATCTCCGGCCAGCTGTACAGCTTGGCTATTGAGCCCTTGCTGTGCAGGTTGAGGGACCGGCTCAGCGGGCTTTCTTTGCCCGCGGCCTGTAGCATTGAATGTCCCCCTACAATTTCTGCCTATGCTGATGATGTAAACATCTTCATCTCCAATCAGGGGGACGTTCGGTGTCTGCGGGACACCCTGTCCCTGTATGAAAGGGCAACAGCTGCACGGGTGAACTGGGAAAAAAGTGGTGCCTTATTGGTGGGAGAGTGGAGGGACCAGGCAGTGCCCAGTCTGCCGGGTGGACTTGAGTGGGGGAGGGAGGGGTTGAAGGTGTTGGGGTTTATTTGGGTACCGAGGGCTTTAAAAGTAAAAACTGGGAGGGAGTTAGGGAGAAAGTGTGCGCTCGGTTGTCTAAATGGAAATGGTTGCTACCCCAGTTGTCGTATAGGGGAAGAGTTCTGGTGGTCAATAACTTGGTTGCCTCGACTCTCTGGCACAGACTTGTGGCTTTGACACCTCCAAGAGGGCTGGTGGAGGACATTCAAAGGGCCATCCTGGACTTCTTCTGGTCAGGCAAACACTGGGTCCAGGCGGCAGTCCTCTACCTGCCGGTGGCTGAAGGGGGACATGGACTTATAGACATTCAGTCAAAAATTGCCTCATTCAGACTCCAGACTGCACAGAGACTCCTTTTCACTTGTGGTCCCAGCTGGATGGACATCGCTCGACTGCTGCTGAGGAGAGCTGGACGGCTGGGGTACACTAAGCAGCTCTTTCTGTTAAAGCTTGAGGAGGTGGATCTCACTGGATTAACATCCTTTTATATGTCTGTAATGCAGGCATGGAAAATGTACACATTCAAAAGGGAAAAAACTGAGAGTCTGGGAATGTGGATCTTTGAGGAACCGTTATTTTTTAATGATTTCATAAGGACTCCAACTTTGCAGTCAGCCAGTCTCCGGGCCAGTTTCAGAGAGGCAGGCTGCACAAAACTGGGTCACCTGGTAAGACTGACCCTGGACGCCCTCAAAGAAAGGACCAATATCACCTCCAGCCGGGTGGTTGAAAGAGTGGTGGAGGAAGTCTTTGCTGCACTTCCAGTAAAACTTGTGACATTTCTAAACATTGAGAATCTGTGTGAGCAGTGGAGTGAAGAGGGCGAATACAGCTTCCCATCTTTGTCTGTTACCCCAGATGTCGGGGAGTGGCAGGAAAGAGGAGGTGGACTGCTGTCCTTTAGTACTCCTGTTCTGGGAAAGTTCCAGGATGCAGGGAAAAAGGCACTCTATCAGTCCTGTGTTAAGGTCCTACATCTTCGTGGTCTGTCGGGAGTGAAAGAGTCGAGGTGGATCGAGTTTTTTGGCCCGGAGGTTTCCCCGAAAGGCAGCTGGCGGTCCCTGTACAAGCTGCCTGTTGAGAAGAGAACAGCAGATCTCCAGTGGAGAGTTGTGCATGGGGTTATAGCCACGAACAGATACAGAGCGCACATTGATCCAGGGGTGGGAGAGGAGTGTTTGTTTTGTTCACTAACTGAAACTTTGTCTCATCTGTTTGTTGAGTGTCCCAGGCTCTCACTCTTGTTTGTCCTTATGAAAAGCTTGTTTGAAGCTCTCGGGGAGGATTTCTCTTATGCATTGTTTGTTTTTGGGCCAAAGTATTCTGCAAAGAAAAAGACTGTACATACACTGATGAACTTTTTATCTGGCTCGGCTAAGTTGGCCATTTGGCTTACACGCAAGAACCGAGCTCAGGGTACTGGCTGTGTGGAACCGGTGCTGGTTCTGGAGGGACTTTTGAAGGCCAGACTAAAGGTAGAATTTGCCTATTATCAAATGATGGACAATGTGCAAGACTTTAATAGTGTATGGGCTGTGGAAGAAGCTTTGTGCTCTGTGGGTGGGGACGGAGAGCTGATTATTCATTTTTGATGCAGTAAATGTTGTTTTTGTTGATGTTGTGATTTTTGTTGCACTTGTTTTGTTTTATTTGTATTTATTTATTTATTTTCTTCTCTTGATCTGAGTGATGATGTGACAGTGTTATATATTTTCTCCTGGTAGTGGTAAAATAAAAGGATTTTGAAAACCTCTCCTCTCCTCTCCGTTTCCGTTTCCGTTTCCGGTTTCCGGTTTCCGGTGAGTGTGAGTGTGAGTGTGAGTGACGGTGGTGGTGTTGCGAGTGGCGCGGAGATTGAATTGTTTGCTATCCTTTCTACTGTTTTCAAAGTGCACGATCAGGTCAGATTGTTTTCATATTTGTATTGAGTGTTGTTGGCTGTGTAAGACAGATCGTTGGAGGGGTTGGAGGGAGGAATGGCGTCTGCTGAGACGCCACCTCCGACTCTCCGACAGGGAGTTCGGATAGTCCCTCCGAACGGTACTGTCACCGTGGAGGAGGTTCTGTTAGCTGCAGGTGAACAGGTAGGCCATGATAAACTCTTGTATGCATCCCGAATGAACAAGGCTGTGGTTGTTTTTCTGAAGAGTGAGCCTCTTGTGTATCAGCTGATTGAGAGTGGTGTGTTCATTAGGGATTTGTTTGTGCAGGTTTCCCCGTTGTCGGTTCCCTCTACGCGGATCACCGTATCCGGTGTTCCGCCGTTTATTTCTAACAACTTGTTAGAGAACGAACTCCGCAGGTTTGGGAAGTTTGCGAGTGGTTTCAAAACTGTGAGTCTAGGGTGTAAAGATCCCAAACTGAAACATGTTCAATCTTTGCGGCGTCAGGTGTTCATGTTTTTGGATTCGCCCACACAGACTCTGGAGGTTTCCTTTAGAGTGAAACACGGTGACGCTTCTTATATGGTGTATGCGAGCTCGGGACAACTGAAGTGTTTTGAGTGTGGTGATGTGGGACACAAACGTTTTGCGTGTCCGCACAGACAGCAGGAGGCGGCTAGTACTGCCGCTGACGCGGGCAGCTCTGTTAGTGTGGCGCATGTGGCGGGGGCCGCGTCCGTGCCCGGGGCGGAGGCCGCGTCCGCGTCCGTGCCCGGGGCG